TGTAATCTCCTTTCTCATTATGTCCACATCTTTGGTAACTTTGTCTTTGAATTCATTAATTTCTTGAGACAATCTTTGGAATTCAATTTCTATCTTTTGTTCCATTCTATTTATCTTATTTGCAATTCATATTCTGAATTCAACTTCTGACATTGCTGCCATCTGTCTATGCATGGCATCTTCAGTTATATCTCCTTTGTCATTTCTTAGGGGTATTGATCTACTCTGGTTATGCATGTTGCCAGAGTTCTTCTGTTGGGTCTGCACCATGTTTATTTTCCACTGTTTGGTTATTAGAACTGGTAGGGTGAGATTGAATTGGGTTCCTAGGTAATAGAGATAGCCACTTACCAAAACATTAGGCTTTGTAATTGTGAAGTATCTCCTACAACCTTACAAAGGCCCCTTTCAGAGTTTTGGCCAGAGACTCTGAGGACCTAGTTGGTGAGATAGTGCAAGCTAGCTCTGTTTTGATATCAACCAAACTTTACCCCATCCTAAGAAGCCACGGGATTATGTTTAAATCTTGACTGTGAAGAGACACAAACAGCTGCAGTGCCCAGTTCTTTTCCCTTCAGTTCTTTTCCACTATAGAACTTTGAAGGTCAGCCTCAGAATGTCCCTGAGTGGATAGCCCCAAACATGATTTCCAATTAAATTGTTTCAGGCAGTGTAAGCCCTGCTCAATAAAAAAGGATTCAAGGGTCTCCAACTGCACAGGGATCCATGCCTTTGCCTGCCAGACTCAGTCCATATTGTTGTCTGCTTCTCTGCTCACAGGCCCAGTTGGATCCAGGGGCCACACCCCCACCCACTGGTCTCAGTCCACACCCAGCTACCATCTGCTTGCCAGACCAGTTGGAGTCAGGGGACCATGCCCCATCTACCAGTCTCAATCCACTGTCTGGCAAGCCTCTGTTCCCAGGGTCTGTTGGAGTCAGGGCACCACACCTTGCCCACAGGTCTCAGAGCTCACCCAGTAAGCCTCTGCTCACTGCTTCACTGGAGACAGGGGACCATGCCCTTACCCTCTGGTCTTGTTTCACACACAGCAAACCTCTGCTTGAGGGTTCTGTTGGAGTCAGGGGACTATGCCCTTGCCCTCAGGTCTCAGTCCACACCTGGTAAGCCTCTGCTTGCAGGCCCAGCAGGGGCTAGGGACTAGCCCTGCTTGCTGAACTCAGTCCACACGGGGTAACCACTTTCCCACTGTTGGTGCTATCAGAGCCAAGGGTTCTATACCCTGTCCCACCAAAAACTGCCTGAACCGAGGGTCACCACCACCACTGGCCAGGCATAGTCATAACCAGGGGACTTCTCCTCCTCCTGCCGAGTGTCCCTTTATTTCGCACCCTCTTTCTTCCCTGTTAGTCACAGATTCCATCCTGATGGTTGGTGGTCCACACTATACCCAGATCTCTCAGGAAAAGACCAAACACTCTGTGTTCTGCAGAGGGCAGAACTTCAGACCGCCTTGGGGTTGGGGGGAAGAGTGGAATGGGAGTTTGGACTTGTGGGGGGAAAATAACTTCAATTTTATGCCTGATGGGATGGAGTCTAGGTTCATAAGTGGGACCTCCCTGGAGAAAGCTCTGGTGCTTAGCAGCTCTCTCCAGCGAGGTAAAATGAGAGGTCTTTTGTTCCCTGCTCACTTACAGATATCCTGTGGCAGGCTCCTGCTTGGGGGAGGGGTCTCCCATCCTCTAGTTGATAGGCTTTGTACCTGTAATTTGTTTTCGTGAATGTTCTTCCTTGGAGTTACAGCTTGCTGAAGTTCTTTCTTGGCTCAGGTCCTCACCTTTGGCTTCATAGAATCCAGTTACATCCAGTTTTTCTCCCTCTGGTCCAGGAGCCTCTGCTGAGGGTTGCTAACAGTCAGCCATCTTTCCAGAATCTTTTTTTTCAAAAATTTATGTGGATGATCTGTGTTACTGCAGACTTCATTTTCAATATCACCTCATCCCTTCTTAAAATAATTTATCTATTTATAAACCACTGATTTCTTTGGGGCATTGCCCCCATATACTTTTTGTAAACCACCATTGATTTTGCCATTTTTCCATCCAATCTTCAATTTTAGCAGAATTCATGTTGTTATAGAGGCTTTTTTTCAGATGGATGTCTTATCCTATTATTTGCCTCAGAATAGATTTTGTTCAGATATGTTATGACAAGTTAGTATAAATTTATTTAGTGCAAGAAATTGAAATCCATGCATAGTTTTTCATAATATACATTTTCCATGAAATTTTTGATGATCCCCTCATATATGACAGTTGATAGCTTGGTTCACTAAGCTTATCAATTTAATGTTTAGTATCTTCAGAGAATCTAGGGAAGCACACCCAAATTAAGAAAAATTATATAAAAATTTTTTTCTACTCTAAATTTTACCATGTAAATATAATGCACTATTTAAAATATACCTGGCTTTGTAGAATTTTAAACATGAAGAATTAATAAAGTAGAAATTTCTTTTTTTTGCCTTACTAGAAGACTGTAATTTAGGACCATTTCAATGGGGAGCTTTTTTCTGTATTTCTGATAAAGGTGTGTCTCTATAGTCAGAAACAGATTTATAGACTAAAGAAAAGTGGGCAATCCGATCTCTCTAATGCTATAAGCCTAGAGATTTTTCATGTGAGAGGGAACCCTAAAGTCTGAGAAATAGGGAAAGGGGAGGGTTGTGTATCAGTAACAAAAAGTAATGTTAACAAGACATGGGCTTGGACCCTATGAATCATCTGTGCTGCAAGTTCCAAAAAGTTTTTATGTTCCTTGTAAAAACGTAACTGATTTTATACTGAGAAAGGAAATAAGGATATAGAAATTATTTTACAGAATAACTTGAAAGCTAATTTTACTGGTTGCTGGTATTCCTTCAAGAGATGGGAGACCTTTTCAATAGAATATTCACACTTCCCTCCTTCCCCTGATGAGAATCATCTCTTTAGTGAATCACAGTCACAGAGGAGAGTAAGTTATACCTCTTAGGTGAATTGGGGTGAAAAAAAATGTTCAGCTTTCCTTTTTCCCCACAGAATTGCCAAGCCATATTTACTTTCTGAAATAAAATAAATCATTGAAAACATCACTTGACTTTAATTTAATCAGTATTAAATAAATTTATTGGGATATTTTAAATGAAAACATAGCATGAACAACTCATGAAAGTGAATAACTTGCAAGTTGCAATTTTTTTTTTTTTTTTTATGGAAGCATAGTGTTCTTATACAATGTTCTTTTCACATTTCTTCTCTGGCATTTATTATAAGGAACAAAGCATTTCTGGAATGCTCATTTTAATTTCAAAGCCCATGCTAGTCTATGGAAAACATTTGGTTCATGGAGGATCTGAACAATAGAGGAGGAATGTGCAGTGGGAAGCATCATGAATTGTGGTACTTAAAATACATTCTGAAGGAACAGTGTAGACAATGGTACTTATTTTTCATTTTAAACAAAGGTTTTAAACAAGGTGTTATAATTTGTCTTAATATGGACAAATATATTTTAATTCTCAATATATAAATTAGACTGACAGCAGTGAGATATTTGCCTTTTGTGAAAAACCGTGTAATAAATTGGGCTTATTGTTATCCTTATATAATCCACCATGAATACACATGAATCTATTTAGCTGCTTGTAAAGCATATAGAATGCACTTTTTCAACTGCCTTCATTACATTTAGCATGGGGGCGGGGATGTCCAAGAGTAAGAAAAGCTTAGGCTAAGTCAGAACACCTTTGATAAAGATTCCCATAACCAATTTTCTGCATCCATGTAGGGAATGAATTAGAGAATATATGTTAAATGCCAAACAATATTTGTGTCATGTTAGGCATTTTGCAAAATACCTTATTTAAACTTCACATGGTCTTACAGGATAATATGTACACATATGATTGTTCTTATTTTCTAAGAGAAAAAACAAAGACTTGCCACATCACATTTCACTCTGGGTCATGAATGTGGGAATAAAACAAATTAGAACAAAATAGAGAAAAATTATTTTTATTTGCATATTTCACCCATAGCTTATAAGTTTTTTCTCTGTTCCTCACAAAAAGCTGGGTCCAGATATTCAAGTAGACAAACATCTAAGCCCTATAAACAACCAATAAGCAAAATCTTGAAGGGTCTGATGAGTAGGAAGAATTATGTATAGTCTATTGTCAAAGATGTGGTGGATGATTACCATAAGGCTTGACTATTTGGTGACACGCTCGAGCCTAGATTGTAATAGGAGTTTCAGATATCTATTTAAATAGTGCATTAAAGTCCCCCTCTATGGTTGTCCCTTTCTTTCTATCCTTAGTTGGGAACTCTGTGGTAGCTGCTGCTGCTGCGCCTGGTGCCATGACTTGACTTTTGGGAATGTACCAACAGTACTAGAATGAATTATGTTACTATGAAATACAGTTGACCCTTGAACAACTAGGGTTTGAACTGTGCAGGTCCACTGATATGTGGATTTTAAAAATAAATTTTATCCTGAGAATGCCTACCTCCCCTGCCTCTTGTTCTTCCTCCATCTCTTCTGCCTGTGCCGTCCCTGAGACAGCAAGACCAACTCCTCCTTTTCATTCTATTCAGTCTACTTAACATGAGATGAGGAAGATGAAGACTTTTATGTTGATCCACTTAAAGTTAATGACTAGTAAATATAATTTCACTTCCTTATGATTTTCTTAATATTTTCTTTTCTCTGGCTTACTTTAGTGTAAGAATACAGAATATAATTCATATAACATACAAAACATGTGCTATTTGACTGGTTTATATTATTGGTAAGCCTTCTGTCAACAGTAGCTAAGTTTTCGTGGTATTGAAAGTTATACTTGTATTTTCAACTGCATAGGGGGCTTGGCACCTCCAAACCCTCAGTTTGTTTAAGGGTCAACTGTATTTCCTTCATTTTTCCTGGGCTAAGATATCTCAGGACTGTGTTCTCCTTACAATTTGTCTAATAGGTGGTTTTAATTTTTCTAATTTTAGGTTACTACACTTGTAAATTGTCCCCAGAATCCATCCAACAGGAAAAAAGGATGTTCAAAAAGAGCCAAAGTCCTTCTAGCTTCTGTGGAGGAAGCAACATGGAATTTACTAGACAAGGGGGAGAAGATTGCCCAGGAAGCTACAGTTTTAAAGGTGGAGCTTACTGCTGCGCTTGAGGAAGTTCGCAAAGAGAGTGAGTACTCTAGTCCTGGTCAGGAGCAAACTGCATATCCTTAGAGTGTTAGTTACTGAATTAGATTTGAATGTTTTGTTTTTGTTGGCTTGAGTTCATCAGTCTTTTGTAGAGGCAGAGTGGCTCATTAGATAACTCCAAAGGTTAGAGTTCCAGTACTGGCTCTTTTGTTTAGTTATTCAGTCCCTTTAGGTAACTCCTCCCCTGATCCATCATGCCATAGTTTATGCATAATAAACAAAGAGAAGCCATAGAAATAATGAGAAATTAGTAATGAAGCTGAAGACATACATAACACATATAAAAATAAATTATAAAGTTTCTTGTAAACAGTTGGGACACTGAAGACCTGATAACCTCAGAAGTGTTACCAAAATCTTGGCAATTGTCCCCCAACCCACATCAGAAGAATGAGGACAAGTACGTTGAGAAAGAGGAAAGACGAATTTATTAATTTGCCAGCAAATGAGAATGGCAGACTACAGTCTTAAAGTACCATTGGCCTTCCCATAAACAAAAATATAGAGCTTTTAAAGGGAGAGTGTTCAGATTCAGGATATTGCTGTTTAATTATAGGTGATGGTTCTGATTAATCCTACCTCCCGTGAAAGACAATCTCATGGATCCCTGGAGACTATTCCAATTCCCTTGAGCCAACTCCTGTGGTACAAAGAACAAGGACACTTCTCTGCCCTTCCCCAAAAGTGCTCTGAGGCAGGGATATAGCTTTTAGGATATCCCTATAGGGATATAGGTTTTAGTTCTCAAAAAATGGTGGAGAGATAAAGAGACAGAAACATTTTTACCCTTTTCCTGACTGTTCTCTCTGTTACAAAAGTACATTTTTAATTTTTCAAATGTTTGGAGATTTAGATTTCTTAAATTGTTTTTTAATGGTTTGCACAATCTATGCATAACCTGTGTTGCTGTTTTGTCAACATTACATAATAAAAGCATGTATTTCAGCAACTGCTCAGTGTTCTTTGGTCAAAGGAATGATTTTATGTATGTTAACTTGCTGCAGAAAACTATTTTGGAAGAAAAAGAAAAGTTGAATTTTCCGATTCAGTTTAATACAAAATCAATACATGTACTGTTTTCTCATAGTTTAATCATTCTTTCTGAAAAAAAAAGTCAATCTTGGTCTGTTTTTTACTCTTATTACAAACGTAGGTAGAGAAAGCACTTTTGACACTGGCTACATCACTCAGCATACCTGGGGATTTTCCTACAGTCAATGACTTCAACTGCATTATCAGACGCCTGACATTCTCTTCTTTGAAGTCTCTGAATTTCTGTGTCATTCTCACTTGCTTCTTCCACTTCATCAACTGCTTCATGCACTTTTATGCAAACCTGTACTTGGGTCATTATTGCTCAGAAAATTGCTTCTGGGTCAGGTTCATTACAGGTTGTCACTTCATTATCCATTGCAAAATTCTATTCCTTTGAATTCTGCCATGGGAGATGGACTGTCTGATGGGGCTAAAACACTGTACTCTTGGATTGTGTCAAATTCAGCATTCTCGAAACATTTCTGTATCATTTCTGGCTGAACGTTATTCCAAGCAGAACTGATCCAGAGGACAGCAGCCATACTCAAAACCCTTTCCTATTCAATTTTTTTGCTGCCAACATACTCCCTACCTCTTATTTATCTCAGATCGGAAAGAGGTTGGTAAATGACTTGTAATTACCATACAGTGTTAAAAGAGAAAAACATAAACATGAACTCACCTGATGATTTTATTATGTATTTTAGGTTACATAAAATAATTAAAGTGTTTTTGTTTATAATTTTTTTTGAGTATGGTAATTCTGGAAGTGATCAGATCAAGTCTAGGCTTCCTCTTGCATGTCTCACAGTAGAAAATTTTTTTTTTCCTCTCATTTTTTTTTTTTTTTTTGGTTTCTTCTGCTGCAAACCATGCAATCCTGTGTTGACTTTTTTCATTATTCGTTATAAAATGCATCTTCCCATTTAGCATTTCCTCAGGGTCATAAGATGATGGTCTTTTCCCTCTTTTTTGAATTTCTGTTCCACACATTGCTCACACACTAAGTGGTGAGATTTCTCCTGTAAGAAAAGCATCTCTGCACTTTTTCTCCACTCTCCTTACCTAATGAGTAAAGAATGCAGCTGCTCACAACTGCAACTACCATCAGCCAGAAGAGTAATTATTCCCACCATTTGTAGGCTCTCTTTGTAAAATAGTAACATCCATAGTACTAATCATCTGTGTCTGCTTTTCCCCAAAACTTTGTGTGTTATAAAGTAACTGTCAGTTTTTCAAATTGGATAGGTTTTTTCCCTATAACCAGTGATCAACTGTGTTTGAGGGCCAAGGAATGTACTCAGCATTGTCACTAATCTCTGGGCATGGAATGAGAGGCACATCATTTTCATTTCACATCGGTAAGCACGAAATTCATATTCCTGAAGTTACTCTTTTTTCAGGTCACTAGGGAATATCCTTTCTTGAAGCCATAACTGTTCCTGTTACCATATATTTTCACTTTATGCAATCCCTGTCGTGTGATAGAGTACAGGAACTTTATAAGATCACCATCACCATCACAATAAACCTTCCCGCTACTTGTTACAGATTGGAATTATCATGACTTTTTTCTTCATCACTAGCTTCACATTCACTGGAACTAATATCCCTGCATGTAAGAAGAGTTTCCTCTGGCTCACTTTCATTACAAAACTCTCCTTCAATCTCACTGTACTTAAAAATCCATGTTGCAATATCATTGTCACTTATGTATTTTCTCCCTGTCATTTTTCTACAAGCACAATTGTGTGAATACAGCTCACAATCACTTACTCATATCAAAACACATGACCTTCTGAGAAACAGAGAGAGTAAAACCTGTGCTATCTGTTGGCTAGAGTCTGGACTCCAGGAGGAAATGCATCAGACAGGCTCCAAAAATGGAGCGGGCAACAAATGCAATAAAAAAAAAAAAATGTTAGATGTCTTCCAACATTGAAGTGGAACAGGAAAATCATTATGTCAGATAATGTCCAACGTAGGATTGAAAGGGTTTTTAACTGATGCAGTGGATAAAGTTGCTTCTACAGGAGGGCCACAGGTGTGTGGTTTAGTAATGACCCACTGCAGGAGCTGGGCTTGGTAGCACATTTTAAATGTTTTGATGGTGCCTTGGTCAAGAGGTTGGGTTTTTGAGGTTGTGTTTGGAGGCGAAATGTCATTGTTACATTCATGAGATAATCCAGTCATGGGTGGTCAGGATAATTGTTTACAGTCAGTAGAATAGACTATTTTTCTTTATTTCTCAGTTGGTATCTCTTATCCTCTCCTCAAATAGGTCACCAGTCATCCTTGCACATCTGTTTGATCTCCAAGTGATGGGAGGTCTTTGGGCTTCGGGTTCTTAAATACAAGAGGCTTTGCTGATTCACCAGTCACCAAGGGCTTTAGTTTCTCTCTGGTTAAGCTAGTGCAAAGTAGAATGATGAAATATTCATTGGAGAGTTTTCTGCTCTTAAATTTGCCACCCTTCATGGGGTGGCTTCTGTCAGGCATTGCCTTGAAAAAGAGTCCACACCTGTCAGCATTAAAGATGTCATCATCTTTGAAGCCTCTGGTGACGTTTGGGAACTTAAATAAATTTTTTTTTGAAAATGAAGACACAGTATCCATGTTTCTTTCTTTCTTTTTTAAATTATTTTTTTATTAAATCATAACTGTGTACATTGATGTATTTATGGGGTTAGTGTAGTGATTTGATACACAATGTCAAATGTTTCATTGAACTAAGTAACACACCCATCACAATTATACTCACTTCTTAATAGTTTTGAAATGTACCATTGCCTCATGCACATTAGGTGAGGTCCCCCCAAATACCCTCCCTTGTCCCATTCCCTCTTTTTCCTCCCCCTCTTTCCTCTTCCCTTCTACTTTCTAGACTATAGTTATGTTTTGCCATTTGTATGAATGGTTATATATTGGTTATTGCCATTTGTAGGTGGTTATATATTGATTTCATAGTAGTATTTAGTAATTGGACACTTTTGTTTCCATTCTTGAGATACTTTACTAAGAAGAATATGTTCCAGCTCCATCCAGGTAAACATAAAAGATGTGAAGTCTCTGTCTTTTTATGGCTGCATAGTATTCGATGGTGTATATATACCACAATTTGTTAATCCATTCATGGGTCCAAACTTGGGCTGTTTCCCAAGTGTCCATCGACCCATGAATGGATTAATAGAACATTGGTCCCTTGGTTGTACAAAAATACCTGAAAGTTTATAATTGGGTTCCTAAGCCAAAGAGCAATGTACAGAATGAAGCAAAGCACATGGCACAGGGATTTTGTCTCTTAATACCTTCTGTATTCCCTGGAAACATTTACATGTCAGGCCATGTTATGGTCACCGCAGCTCTCACTGTAACATCACAAATTGATGAACTCTTCCACAGCTTCCACCGGAACGTCGCTGAATTCACCATATAAGACTTTCTGGGAGATCTTGTGTTGACGTTTAAATTTCTTAAGCCAGCCACTTGCTGCTTGGAAATCTACCACCCTGAGTTCCTGTGTAAATTTTTTAGCAAGTGCTTAGATCATTGGCTGGAGATTTGAGCATTAACAGCTCTCATTTGTTTGAACCAGCTTAATGTGGCTTCACTGACTTCCTTGAGCAAAGTTTTCCTTCTTTTATGCTGTAGGTCTCCACTTTCCTTACCATCTCTCTCCAAGTACTCATGTTTATGTTTCTGGATGTTGCTAACTATGGTTTTCCTAACACTGAAATATTCTGGCATCTTTCTTTGGCTGCTGCTTCCCAGAAAATGTATAATGTCAACCTTTTCTTTCAATATCAGTGCTTTGAGTGTTTTCCTTTGGGCTATTATGTCTCAACTAACTGTAACATTTTCAGTAATTGTAGGATGTAACTACAATTCAGACCAGTCCTTCACATCGAAAACATCTTCCACCACATGTGGTAAACAATAAGACAT